GTTCTGCATTGCCAGCAGTCAAAACGTCGATCTGTTGGCACAGAAATTGAAGCTGCTTGCAACGCTGACCGAGTGGATGTCGAGTGACCCGCCTGAAGCGTCTAGCGTTGTCGATGTGGGGCTTCCCACGCGCGCGCGTGCCCGCGCGGGGAGTTCTGTATAGACATCATTGGAAAGGTCGCTTTGTTGGCTTGGAAGATGCGGCAAGCCCATCACGATGGCCGACCAGATGTTTTCCTAGCGTGGACGACGCAGGGCCCTCCGCGCGCGCGCGTGCCCGTGCGGAGTGCTGCATCGCCTTGATTTTGAAAGGTCGCCTTGTTGGCTTGGGAGCTGAAGCGAACCCATCACGGTAACCGAGCGGATGCCGGGTGACCCGCCCCAACGCGTCCAACGCAGGCAAGGCGGACTTCTCCAGGACCGCGCGGGTGCCCGCATGGAGAATATTGTTTCGCTTGTAATTGAATTAGCTTTGCTGATTTGGACATTAAATTGGGTCTCGAATGGAGGCCCGCCCAGCTTGTCCAGTGGGGGAAATGCAGAACTCGCCGTGCACACGTGCGCGCGGGGGGTACGCAACAGAAAATTGAGAAGTCGCCCTGCCCGCCTGGGAACTGAAATTAACCTTTAACGGTGGCCGAGTTGATTTTGAATGACTTGCTCGACTTGTCCGTTGCGGACAACGCAAGATTCCTCCCACGCGCGCGCACCCGCGTCGAGAGTTCTGCATTGTCGGCACTGGAACAGTCGCCTTGCAGGCCCAGCGTCAGCATAGAATCTTTGGTGGCGACCGAGCGGGTGCCGGGTAGCCCACCCGACTTGTCAAGCGTGGACAATCTCGAATCGTGCGCGCGCGTGCCTGCGGCGAGATTTGTATGACCTGCCCGACTTGGCGAGCGTGGACACTATAGGGCCCCCCCCACACACACGCGCGCGCGCGCGTGACCGCGTGGAGAGTTCCGCATTGCCCACGATACACAAGTCGTTCTGTTGGCAAGGAAACGGATGTGATCTCTTAGCTGTTGCCGAGCGGGTTTCGGGTGACCCGCACGACTCGCCTCGCGTGGACAATGTTGAATTCCCCACGTGCGCGCACGGTCCACACTAGAACAGGTGCCCTGTTGGCCGAGCAGATTCCGGATGGCCCGCCCACAATGCCGTCGGGGCCTTCGGTGGGCCCCGCTAAGCGTGAGAGGGTTGTGACGAATTGGGTGCGGGCACGCCAGGCGGACCCTGCCGCTGGGGCCTTCGGTGGAGCTCCCTACGTGGCCACGAAACGTGTGAGATGTGTGCCGAATCGGGTGCGGGCACGCCAGGCGGACCTTGCCGCTGGGGCCTTCGGTGGAGCTTCCCACGGGTCCACGAAAAGTGTGAGGTGTGTGTGTGTGAAGGGTGCGAGATGATGATGTTGATGATGGTGATGTGATGGTGATGATGATGGTGGCGGTGTTGGTGTTGATGACGGTGATGATGATGGTGATGACGATGGTGATGGTAATTGTAATGGTAATGATGATGATGAGGCTGATCATGCTGATGATGGTGATGATGATTATGATGGCGATGATGATGATGCTGATGTTGATGGTGGCAGTGTTGATGATGATGAAAATGTGGTGATGATGCTGATGATGGTAATGATGATACTGGCAATGATGGTGATGATGTGATGGTGATGTGGTGATGATGGTGGTGATGATACTGATGACGATGGTGATGGTGGTGATGATGATGATGATGATGATAATGGTGCTGGTGCTGGTGCTGGTGATAGTGATGATGACGCTGGTACGATCATGATGATGGTGATGGAGGGCGGAGGGGGAGGAGGAGAGGGAGGAGCAGGAGGAGGTGGAGGAGGAGGAGCAGGAGGAGGAGGAGAGGGACGCGGGGACTGTCTCTTCAAAACGAGGGCCCAATACCACAGGATGGTTGTCAACAACTCCTCGTCAGGCTGTCCAGATGATTGCGAATCTGATCCAGCCTGTTGGTGCGAGCGAACAGGCGCCCACCCTCCAGCAGCAGATTGGCCACTCGCCTGAACCTCCTGTCCTGGTCGCAGTCGTCCATCTCGAGCCTGGGGGTGTAACTGTGCAAGACCGCGTCCACCAAGCGCAAGTGTCGGGCACATCTGGTCGCCGTACTCCGTGCTGGTTGCGGTAAGCGCTGCCTGCGGACACACCTTCAGTTTCTCCCCTTCCACAAGTCGTCATGAGCTCCTGCCCGCCTTTCAAACTTGGTTCGTGCAGGTCTCATGATGTCGTGCCTATCCAACAGTTCGCACTCCGCGTCTTGCAGGAAGATGCCCCAGAACTCGCTCAGGTCCTCCCCATTCTTGGCCAATCTGGCTCGGTCATGCAAGTATGGCCGTATTCGGGGAAACCTTGCGCATCCTGCTTTAGCAATTTGGAATTGATATCGGACGTCGCGACCCTCAAGACCACAACTCAGTATTCACGCCAGCAATGCTTATACTCACAGATTTGCGCGGAGCAGCGTCTGTTCAAGCACCCGTTCCACGTCTGCTCTGATCGTTGGGTTAAAACTCATCGCATAAAAAATCATGGTCGTACCTGGCACGCTCTGAGTACATGCAGCTGACGCCGGCGCCGAAACCACCCCTCCGACGGAAGAAACATACGCCATCAAACAATATGGTTCCATATGAGAGTAAGCACCCAGCAGCCATTCCCATCCTAATTCCTGAACCATCTTGAGGTACGAGGACGAGGCGATATTCGCGAGAATGGCGACGCTCGTTGGTCCCAACCTTTTCAACCTGAAGGTATCTACTGACGACGACGAAATCAACCCACACCGCCGCGTGCACGTGCGCTGCCACCGTACATGCTGGAATAAGAAGCCATTCAAACAGTGCGGGGCGAATGTGACCTGCATGTAGCCAGAACTGCGACTCCTCCGCTAGTGCCATCCTCCTCCGTATTTGTTGCCCCAGCCCAGATCCCGTGATACATTGTTGCTGCAGCACGTGCATGGAAATTTGGAAGCCAGCCAGTTAGATGATGTGCTTGAGTACACGGCGCCATGGCCTCCTCCGCTAGCGGCGTCGGTTTCGACTCCCTCAGCTTGGCCAAGGGACCGTGCGACGCTGCGCGCGGGGCGAGCCTTCTTGGCGAAACTCGAGCCATGCATCTGCACGCTTCGTCTCTTCTCGGAGCCGCTGTTATCAGCCTGGCACTCAGATGTTGATTGGCCTGAGGAGCTCGCGAAGCACCTTTGGGTCATCCGGGCTTTGCGGGCATCCACCCATGACCTGCCGCGGCTGCCGGCTCCAGGACAACCTGCCACTGGAGCTGTTCCTGGGCCGTTTGCCTCTGGAGCCGCATCGGGCGCCTCAGCGCCTGCAGCACGTCGGGGCTCCTCCGCCCGCTGCACCCTCTGCTCGCTGAGCGGCCTCTCGTCATTGCGACCTTCTTCCAGCACCTCGTGCGTCCTCTTGGCCGTGCCTTCTGCAGCTCCGAAGCCCTGCCATAGCTCGCCCAGGCGCTCGATCGACAAGTCCGCTGCTGCCCCAGCAGCAGCTGCTGAAGTGTGTGTCGCCTCGCTCCCCTTCTAGTGGCAGGAGAGCCTCCGCCCATCTTGAGCAGCTCCTGTTTCGCGTGCGTCAAGGCCTGCTGCGCCTCCTGCACCGCATGCTGGGCGGCCGCTCCTTGAGCTTGGCGCGCGCCTCCCTGACCTCCGCCGCGTTGATATCCTTAGTCGCCTCGGTGTGTGCCGCGCTATCGGCCAATTACCGTCCCGCTTATGATTAAGAAGCCTCCCCCCGAAAAGCTGGCCCAGCGTTTCTTGACCAACTTGCCGGAAAGCTGGCTCGGTTTCTTCAGGGGATTGGTAGTTTCCGGTTCCGGTTCGCGCCGGTTCGGTTACAAAAAAAACAGCACGATTCGGGTTCGGATGGGGGAACAGGTATAACACCTCAGTACAGTGAGAGAATGTGAAGGTACCCTTTGCCTTGGCAGGCGCATGTGCGAGCTCTGAGCTGTCGGAGGCCGCTTCTCCCCCGGGGCCAAATTGTAAGTCCTGAGCGAAACGCTGCCGACTTGCGCCAAGATGGCTACGGACGGAGGAAGAGGAAGAGGAGAGGAGGAGGAAGAGGCAGAGGAAGCGGAAGAGGGGGAGACGGAGGAGGGCAAGGAGAGGGAGTAAGGAGGAGAGAGGAACAGACGGGAGGGGGAGAAAAAGAAAGAGGTGGAGGAGGGAGGATCGGTACGCAGCTGGGGCGAGAGTGACGGCTCCTTGTTTTCCTCAATCATTTCTCATCCTTTCTCGCCCCCGCTCCTCCCGATGGGTTTCCTCTTCCTCCTCCGTTCTGTCCTCCTCTCCCTCCTCACCTTCATCGCCGTATTCCTTTGTATATTCATCCGCATCCTCATGTTACTCTTTCTTACCCTTCTCCGCTCTCTCCCCCTCCTTCTGTTCCTTTACCCACCTGTTCTGCAGCGTCATCGTCAAGTTACTCGGCCGCACCAAGAGTTTCCTTCGAAATTCGGAAGAGACGCTCTCCAGAGCATGTACCCGTCAATACGTTATTTTAACGGAGGTGAATTATGGAAGGGAATGGTAATTCGCTAGGCTAAGCCAATGCCTCCGACTATGAGAACACATCAGGAGTGCGGAATTCCGCCGGGTGACCACGAAAGACGGTTGATATGTTAGGCGTTCAGGGTGGTGGGTGGGTCCGGGTGGGTTCAGCGCCTTCTGGGCGTCGGGGCCGCTGTCGCTGTGAGGTCATCCTCGCGGGCATTGTATGCAATCGGGGGATAGACAAACAAATCGTGAGCCCGTGTTCGTGGGCGAGTCGACACAATTCCAGGAATTCGCGCAACGGCGATGTATCCCCTGCTCCCCGTCCTCCACCACCGCCCAGTCTATATGTTTCATCGTTGTAGTTGTTATACATGGCGTATGTGCGTACTGTCCTCCTTCACCTCCCTGTCTCGTTCTCGCCCGCGGCCTCGCGCCCCCCCCCCCGACCCCAGGACCTCACGCGCTCACGCGGGCGCAGCAGCCACGATCTGCTCGAGAGGTTCGACGAGAAGCAGAGGAGCGACGCAGTCGCAGACGGCAAGGACTTCTGTTTGCCCTGTTCCCCATCATGCCCCGCAGCATCATCATCATCATCATCATCATCATCATCATCATCATCATCATCATCATCATCATCATCATCATCATCATAATCATAATCATCATCATCATCATCATCATCAGCATCAGCATCAGCATCAGCATCAGCATCAGCCTCATCATCATCATCATCAGCATCTGCATCATCCTCATCTTCATGGCGAGCGCCACACTGCGCCGCCCCTCCTTGGGAGAGCGCGGCCATCCAAGCATCATCGCCATCATCACCATCATCGCAACGATCGTTCCTCGCATGTAATTCCCCCGTTCCCCCCTCCACGCTACAGGTGCTATCATGCTCGCCCCTGTCCTCATCGTGCTCACCTCGCAAGGTGCTTGTATTATTCCTCTCAGTATCATCATGTTCGGGGCGTCTCCCGCCGTCCTCGTGTCATTAACGAGATTGCCGCCCCAACATCTGCACAGAGCAGTTGGGGGGGGGCGGGGGCGATCCCATTCTCGAGGCCCTCATGAGGCTCATGGGCGTACCCATCCAATGGGGGGGGGGGCGGGGGGCGGGGGGCGATGCCATTAGCATTGGGGGGGACACGGCCCTAGATAATAGGTCGCCCGCTGTAAGCACTATAACCCCCCTTTACTTAAAACAATAAACCATGTGAATTAGATTAGTAAGATTGGTCGAGTGCCCACGGACACCCTCACCCGTGACGCCGCCGAAGCAGCTTTGTGGGCTCAAGTTTTCCCACCCCGCCCCGAGAGCAATGGTATATAAATATGGCATCAGCCAGTCTCCGCTTCCAACCCACGTAGTACATAGCCCCCGGCTCCAACACAACACCCAAATAATTACTCAACCATTTGCGATCCGAGTGCACCTTCACAGTACGTTATACTGGACACTCCTCGTCTCCTGCACAGTACCATGTAATACACCGTCTCCGCATCCACCACATCGCCCAACTAATCGACAGCTTCCACCCCAGTTGCAAGCCAACAGAACATTAGAATGGCCCCCGTCCGTTCAAACACAGCACTCATGTAATACATTGCCTGCGGACTCCGCATGCAAGACGACACCCACGCACTGAACAGCAATCCGCCCCACTTTCACCTCAAAAACAACATTGGATTGCGCAGCCTACGTTTCCAACGCTACACCCATGTACTACACAGCATGCGACTCGAACACAACACCAGCGTACTCAACAGCCTCTGACCCATCTGAACCCGTTCGGTACTAGGCACGCTCCGTACCCAACGTGGCACCCATGTACTACACAGGCGCCGCCTCCACGACAACAACAAAGTATTCAGCAGCATCCGAACCATAGACTAAGCGTGATATGTTTCCAATGCGCCACCCATGTACTACACAGCCTCCGCATCCATCACAACACCCAAGTACACAGAAGCATCAGCCCAAAACGTAAAATGACAGCATTATTGTAGTACACGCCATTGGTTTCCATCACGCCACCCATTCTTACGCAGGCCCTGCCTCTAATACGACACCCAAGTATTCAACTGCCACCGCTTCAAGCATACAGCATGGGTACGGCGTGCATCGTGGCCTTGTTAAGTTTGCCCCTTCTTGCAAATTCCGTGAGGAAAGGCAGATCACGGGGGACATGTAAATCTCAATGTGCATGTGTATTTGCACACATTTAGATGGATGAGTGTGCATATCTGCGTAGGGGACGTTATGCCATAATGTAATAGTCCCTGCTGCCTCCTCGTTCTCCTCGTCATCATTTCAATGTTTCATCACTTTAACCCTCCTCCCCCCTCCCCTTCTATTCCGCATATATCCTCGTTTTCCATATGTTCCTCCCTACGTTCCCCCATCCCACCCACCGGATCCCATGTCTCTTTCCTCCTGGGATGTGTTTACAGCTGTTGAAGTTTGTCGCATCCAATGGTGGCACGGATCGAAGGCGCAGGGTTTTCAACATGTGGTTTTCGCCTTAGCGTTGGGATCGCCCATTTCCACACATTTCCAACAGTTGCACTGATTGAGGGCGAGTCGTTTTCAACATGTGGTTCTCGTTCCAGCGCCGCGCACTTCCCACAGTTCCCGCAAGCTCCATGGCGGACCCTCTGCAAAATCGGGCTCTCGAATGCGCACCCCGCGCATGCGCCTTACAGCCTTGCAACAGCTGCACGGATGGCAAGTCGTTGTCCACCTGTGGTTCCCGCCTTGGTGCCGCGCACACTCGTCGCAGATGCGTCCACGGGCCCAAAGGATGCACAGCCGTGCGCAGATCTCACCACAGCTCCACGGGTGGAGGGCGTGCCCGTTTCCAAAGACGATCCTCGCATCGGTCCCACGCGCATTCCTTTGCTCAGAGTTTTCACCAGCTGCAGGTTAGGTCAGAGTTTTCACCAGTTTTCTCAGAGTTTTCTCAGAGTTTTCTCCAGTTTTCTCAGAGTTTTCTCGCGGTTAGGTCTCAGAGCGGCTCTCTCGCCGCAGCGCCGCACACGTCTGTTTCAGAACTGCTCACGAGCTACCAGGGGGCGGCATGCGAGGACGGACGACGGCTCGTTGTCGACATGGGGCTCTCGTTTTGGGGCAACCTCAGGCAAAGCGGCCCGACATCTCTACGATCGCAACAGAGAGTCACGGACGGGGAGTGGCTCCTTCTCAGAATGGGACTTTCGTTTGGGGCAGCCTCGAACAAAGCGGCCCCATATCTGTACGAGCGCAACGCACAAAGTCGCGGACGTGGCGTGGTTCCTTCTCAGGAGGGGGATGACCCGAAGTGTAGAAAGTGTTGAGCAGCAGCTGCGCCGATGTGATGGCGGGCGGCTCCTTCTCTCGAGCCCGGTGCTCGGCTGGCGCTGGGCCCTCGCATGTCATGGTCATGCTTTTTCGTGGCCCTCGCAGCTCGAAGAGCGCAGGGCTGCCAAAACCGCGCTCTTCGCCTGCCCGGCACACACACACAGCGTGGCCCACGGTGCGCCCCTCTCTCGAGGGGGCGCGTCCCGGAGCGAACAGGAATGCCTGTGGGGCTTCTGAGGAGGGGGCACCTCATCATCGACGCATCGTGGGCTTACTCTGGTCCTCCTCCTCCTCCACCTTCACTTCCTCCTCCTCCTCCCCCTCCTTCCTCCCCCCCCTCCTCCTCCTCCTCCTCCTCCTCCTCCTCTTCCTCCTCCTCCTCCTCCTACTCCTCCTCATCCTCCTCCTCCTTCTCCTCCTCCTCCTCCTCCCCCCCCCTCCTCCTCCTCCTCCTCCTCCTCCTCCTCCTCCTCCTCCTCCTCCCTCCTCCTCTTCCTCCTCCTCCTCCTCCCCCCCCTCCTCCTCCTCCTCCTCCCCCTCCTCCTCCTCCTCCTCCTCCTCCTCCTCCTCCTCCTCTTCCTCCTTCCTCCCCCCTCACGCTACGGTCAAGACGCCGACATGACGATACGGAGGGGGGCTCGCTGTTCTTCAGGTCCCTCACTTCGCTGCCCCTCCTGTGCTCCTAGTGCCACCTGGCGCGTCTGAGGCCAACGAGGGGCTCCGTTCCTCACCCAGCGCTCTTTATACCCTTAAGTTGGGCCTGTCCCTCTACAGGAGGGATATCCAAGAATAGTCAAAAATAGTATGGGGACGATGTCTTGACTATTTGGAGTATGTTTTGAATACTTCACTTTGTCGCCCAATATACCCCTGTAGGGGGACAGGCCCGACCTAATTAGAGCCCCAGACATGCAGTGCCCTCATCATTTGTTCAGTGCGGGGCCCCAAGAAGTCCCGACCCATTCCCCAAGGCCGGCTTTTCATCCCGAGCCGTTTTTTGACGGTCCCAGGGCTCGGCGAGGGGCCCCAGAGGCCGGGCATTGCCAGAAACCTTCCGCCGCGATTCGGGTGTCATGGTGTCCCCCCGCCCCCCCCCCCTCGCCAAGCAAGAGACCCGCGCGCGACGCATCCGGCACTGCCAGCGAGATGGCGCTCGACTCGAGCCTCCCCGCTCGCAGCTGGGCAAGCCGCGACAGCGCCTCCCGCCAGCGCCCGCCCCTCGCGCACGAGCTGATCCTAGCGCTGAGGGCGGCGACTTCTGGCGCCAGCCCGCCCGCCCCAGGGAAAGAAGAAGCCGCACTGTTGTTTTGGATTGCATGTAAAACGAGACTGGAGTTCGGAACCGGCTGCACCCCCCCTGGCAAGGACTACTGCAAGTCAAGCGGGCAGCACACCGTGCGCGTCGGGGGCGTCCCCTTCATCGCAGGCGTGAAGCGCAAGGAGCTCGAGCAGCAGCGCGAGGAGGAGCCCGACTGGCGGCAGGCGGCGATGCGCGAGGAGCAGAGAGCGCAGGAGCCGCCACCGGAACACACAGAAAGCAGTTTGCCCGACGAAGGGGGGCCTTGCCTGGCGATGGCGATGCACGTACAGCAGCGTGCGTTCTTGGAGCGAGCATGGCGCAGATGCTGATTCGGTTCTTCCACCATTCATGCTGACGAGTGGCACGTTTTTGTCGTGTGAGTTTGTTTTACCCTTGTGGTCTTCTTGGGCCATACCGCGGTCGGCTTGGGCACCTCGGACTTCGTTGTTGTTGATGGCGCTGAGGGCATGTTTCTGGACCCCCCTCTTGTCACCGAAGAATCGGCGCAAACGTTGAAAAACTGCTCCTCACAAGCAGGGCGTCAAGCAGGCGACAGGGCTGGACCTAAACGGTGTTTTGGCGATTTCGTGGGCCGTTTTCGGTTCGATGTCGTTTTGTGGTAAAGGCGGATTGAAGACAAAACGAAGGAAAATCATAACAAAACGAAAACGAAAAACACCGTCTAGGTTCAGCCCTTGCAGGCGACATGATGATACCCAAAAAGTTGTTTTAACCATCGGACAGCAAGCAGGCGGGCCACGGTCCGATCCCGGATCCCACACAACGTAACAACAAGAGCGCCCGAAGTTGCAAGCAGGGCAACAAAAACGCCCTCAGCGTTTTTTTTCGCGAACGTCTACACATTGTTCATTTCTCATTATTCGAGAGTTCTTTAATTTTTTTGGGGGGGGCAGATCATTGTATTTCTAATTGTTCTATCCTGGGCCTCTTCCTGGCCACTATGGGGCCAGGACCAATTAGAAACAAACACAATTAGAAATGAACACGATTAGAAACAAAAACGACGTGTACGACCTCAGCCCTCGCACATACACGACAGTTGCGCAGATGGCAAGCCCCCCACGGGGCGGCGAGGTCTCGAGGTGGTCCGCGTTGGACGTACCTCCGCTGGGCCTCCCAGGAGCCCACGAAAGTGGCGACAGTTGCGCAGATGGCAAGCCCCCCAGGGGGCGGCGAGGTCTCGAGGTGGTCCGCGTTGGACGTACCTCCGCTGGGCCTCCCAGGAGCCCGCCGAAGTGGCGACAGTTTCGCAGATCGCAGCCCGACGGCACGAGAGAAGAGGAGAGGGGAACACAGGAGACAGGAGAGGAGGAGGGGAGGAGAGGGGAGGAGGAGAAGGAGGACGGGGCGATCACACTGCTCTATTCAAAACGAGTACCCAACACAGGAGGGTTGGGAAAAGTGAGGTTGACGTTGGCCTGGAGGGGGTTGGGCAAACCAGGTGGAGGAGGAGGAGGAGGGGAGGACATTTCTTAGAACCGCCACGGGTCTCACAGAAACTCCTAAAACCTAGAAACTAGCGAACGCATGACATGTTCCTACTTCCCAATGCTCATCCCCATCCTATTCCTCTTCTTCCCCAGGGGAAGGAAGCTTGGCCCCTTCTGAGAGTTGCCTAGAGCCTTATAGCACATGTTAAACCTCAGAACAAAGGAAAGCCAATGTACGGTAGGTTCATGCAGCTTTGGCGCGCCGGCGATGCCGGCGAAGGCGTTCAAGGTTGAATTCTGCGACGCGGAAGCGCCGAAGGACACGAAGACGCCACTGGACCAGACGGAATTCAACCCTGAACGATCGGAGCCGCGATCGAAGTGGTGTCAAAAACTTTGCGCGCGCCGATGCCGCACCAACCTGCAGTATTCATCCCTCTCTCTCTCTCTTCCGCTTCCTTGCAAGGACGGGCGGGGGGAACAGGGGACACATTGTATAGGACGGGGTGAGGCCCCACAGAGATCCCTCATCTCCCTCCGCCCTCTGAGGAGGAGCAGGAGGTGGAGGAGGAGGAGGAGGAGGAGAAGGGAGTTGAGAAGTTGCCACGGTACGTCGATACGTTTTTGGCGAGTTCGCTTTGCCGCGCGCGCGTTGATAGCCGCGGGGCTGCTGTTGCTGCTGCCCCCTCCGTCCTGTTCGCGCCCCCCTCTCTCCCTGCCCCTCTGCTCTCTCTCTCTCTCTCTCACACTTTCTCCTTTTTTCCTCCCCGCCTGGGGGCGAAAGTTCTTTGCGCCGCGCGGCATTCCCACGGTCTGGGTCAGGGCCGCGTCGCCCGCACACTCGTGGAGGCTCCAACGTGTTCTGGCGAGACCTTCCCTCACACGCCTCGTCCTGGTGGACACCCGCCGCAATGATCAACGGGTGCCAGGGCTGCGGAAGACCGTAGGAGGAGGAGGAGGAGGAGGAGGAGGAGGAGGAGGAGGAGAGGAGGAGGAGGAGGAGGGGAGGGGTAGAGGGAAGGAGAGAAGGGTGAGGAGGGGGGAGAGGGAAGAGGGGAAGGAGGGGAACCGGAGGAGGAGGAGGAGGATGAGGAGGAGGAGAAAGAGGAGGGGGAGGGAGGGGGAGGAGGAGGGAGGAGAAGGAGGAGGGGAGGTGGGAGGAGGGAGGAGGAGAAGAGGGAGGAGGAGGGAGGGAGGAGGAGGAGGAGGAGGAGAGGAGGAGGCTGGGGGAGGGAGCGGGCGAGGGGAGAAACAGGAAAAAGGAGGAGAAGGAGGAGCTTGGTGAGGAGGAGCGGGAGGCACCCTGACGCGTCTCATGTATGGCGTCGTTTTCTGATTCGTTGTTTTGCCGATCGGCGCGGGCCCTCGCACCCCCCCGCCTCCCTCCCCTCCTGGAGTAGGTCTTGGCTGTTTTTGGCGCCTGTTTCGAGCAGGCGGGGTTTTACCCCATAGGACGCACTTTTGCAAACAGTCGCATGAAGCAGAGGGTCCAAAGCCAGACCCCCCGCCCTCCCCCCCCCTCCGTCCGCCCAGTGTCGTAAAGCCGAATGAGAAAAACGCTCATATGGTGGAGGGAGGAGCAGCACGACGAGCAGGACTAGGAGGCCACGGCCAGGTCTGTGGTGCTGCCGTTGCGGGGACAGCCCCCGCCCCCACAGTGGGCGGGGGCGCGTCCAGCCGACAGCGGTGCATGGCCACCACGATAGCAGCAACCACGACGGCGACCGAAGACGGCGACCGCGACGACCGCGACGACTACCAACATGACGATGACGTTGACGACGACCGCGGCGACGACGCCGACGACATCGCAGGACGAGCTGAAGGCAAAGAGGGCAGCAATCGAGTCCAAGTACCTGGCCCGGGTGTCGAGCAGCCAGGGCAAGCAGGCGGGACCCGAGAGAAATTGCCCATGTCCGTCGTCGTTGTGGTCGACGCTCGATTACATACACGCGCGCATTCAAACATACACACACGCACGCACGCACGCACACACACGAGAACACAAACACACAAGCACACTCACATCCACACACGAAAACACAGACACACGAACACACACACACACACACACAACACACACACACAATCACACACAGCCACACACGAACATACACAAACAACAATTATTTTTAAGACTTACGCCACATCCGCCGACCCCTGAAGTTCCGTTCGGAAGCTACGCTCGCGGTCACCACGTGCCGGGGGGCTTCGGGCGACTCAGGATATGGGGACAGTGTGCCTTCGACGTCGCGTGATGGTTTCAAACTGGATTTGGGAATTTTGGTGAGGGGGACAGGGGCAGGGGGCAGCCAACCATCTCACACGCTTTTGCATCCCAGGCAAGCGGGTGTCGGCGCCCAGAAGGAGTGAGACCCTGCGACGATCGCCTAAGTAATCGTGGGGGGGCTTCTCGCCAGCTTCTTGGAGGTAGTTTCGAAGGCTCTTGGGGGCTGTTTGGGGGCCTCTTTTGGGCCTCTTGGAGGCGTTTTGGGGCTCTTGGGTGTCTTTTGGGGGCCTCTGGGACCCTCTTGGGCGCCTCTTGGGGCTTCCTGGGAGCCTTCTCGGGCGGAGAATTCGAATTCTCGGTTCGAGGTCCCCTTCGTCGGCCTTTCTTGGGGCTGTCTTGGGGCACTCTTGGGCCGTCTTAAAGCGCTCTTGGGCCGTCTTGGCGGCCTCTTGGGAGCCTCTTAGGCCGTCTTGAGGCGGTCTTGGGTGCCTCTTGGACGGCTTCCAACGCCGTGAAGGCCGAAACGTCGTATATGCTAAAAATGTACGCTTTTAGAAAAGAATTTGAAGCTTTTGGCGTCCCCGGGACTTCCTGGGAGACTTTTTGGAGGCCTCTTGCAGTGTCTTCGCGGCTTCTTGGGCCGTCTTGGGCCCATTTTGGGCGTCTTGAATCGATCATTCGGCGACTCTAGGCTCTCTTGGACCGTCTTCGAGGTGTCTTGAGAGGCTTGACGGGCTGTCTTGGGGCTCCAGACCGAGCCTGGGGAGCCCGGACCGCCCCTGATGAGTTCGGGGGTGGGTCGTCCGGGGCAGCCGGGGGGGCGTCAAAAATCCGGTTTGGGGTCCCTCTTGGATGGCCGCGGCGGCTGCTAGGTGGTTAGCGCGGATACTAAGGGGTTAGAGGATTTAGTATGTACGTACAAGTGAGTTGTAAGTAGGTTATAAGTGTTGTAAGTAGGATGTAAATTGTATAACCAGCTACAACTGGTTAGTAGGAGATACTAACCACTTATAGCTGGAGGCTAACCTTGCTAAGTCTCTAGTCGAGGTTAGCTCGCTAAGTCCCCACTCTAGCTACCACTTACTAACCACTTAGTAACCACTTAGCTGCCACTTAGTAACCACCCAGTAACCACTTACTAACCACTTAGTAACCACATAGTAAGTCCGCTAGCTAGCTTACTTACTAAGTGGTTAGCGGACTTACTAAGTGGTTAGCGGACTCTGAGAAGGAGAAGGAGGAGGAGGAAGAGGAGGAGGAGGAGGAGGAGGAGGAGAGAGGAGGGGGAGAGAGGAGGAGGAGGAGAAGGAGGAGGAGGAGGAGGAGAAGGAGGAGGAGATGTCGAGGAGGAGGAGGAGTAGGAGGAGGACGGGGAGGAGGATGAGGAGGAGGAGGAAAGGGGGAGGCGGCGGCGGAGGCGGCGACGGGCGCGCCTCAGCCCAAGACGGCCGCTCGACGCGGCGGCCCTGCAGGGCCGCCGCGTCGAGCGGCAGCCTGGCGCGGCTGAGCGCGGCGCAGGCGAAGTTCGCCTGCGCCGCGCTCTGCGCCGCCATCTCCAGCGGCATTGCCGCTGGCGCGGGCGGCGGGGGGGGCCCCGCGCGCCGCTCGGCAGCCAGAGCGGCCCACCGCACGTAGCCGTCGTCCACAACCCAGAGGGTTGGGAGACGACGACGTGCGACGGGCCGATGGCTGCCGAGCCCGTCCCACCCCTCGGGGATGTCGAGGAGGATCCCCGACATCCCCGAGGGGTCCTCCGAGAGGAGACTGCCCCATGGCTCGGGGTCGCCATCGAAAAACATGTCTTGATATGTTTTTCGATGGCGATCCCGAGCCGCGAAGCAAAGGGAAAAGGGAGGGCGCGCTCCCCGCGCGGCCTGTAAGCCGCACGCGCGCGGGCGGCGTCTCCTCCTCCCCCCTCCTTCTATCCTCCTCCTCCTCCTCCTCCTCCCTCTCCTCCTCCTCCTCCTCCTCCTCCTCCTCCTCCTCCTCCTCCTCCTCCTCCTCCTCCTCCTCTCCGCCTCCTCCTCTCGCCCTCCTCCTCTCGTCATCATCATATACTCCTCCCTCGTCCTCCTCCTCCTCATCCTCCTCCTCGTCCTCCTAACCCTCCGCTCCTCCCTCGTCCTCCTCCTCCCCTCATCCCCTCCTCCTCCTCCTCCTCCTCCTCCTCCTCTCTCCACCTCCTCCCCTCCTCCTCCTCTCCTCCTGCCACATTCCTCCTAGCACCTCTCTCTCTCCTCTCTCCTCCTCCTCCTCCTCCTCCTCCTACTCCTCCTCATTCCTCCTCCTCCTCCCAACCTCATCCTCCCTCCCCTCCTCCTCCTCCTCCTCCTCCTCCCCCTCCTCCTCCTCCTCCTCCCCCCCCCCCCCATCCTCCTCCCAACCTCCACTCGCTCTGAGCTATCTCGTCGTTTTCCCTCCTCCTCATGCTCCTCCTCTCTCCTCCCCCACGCTCCTCCTCTCCTCCTCCTCCTCCTCCTCCTCCTCCTCCTCCTCCTCCTCCCCCCCCTCCCCCTCCTCCACCCTCCCCCCCTCGTCAGAGGATGGGGGGGAGAGGAGAAGGGGGGGGGGAGCAAGATGAGGAGGAGGAGCAGCAGTAGGAGCAGGAGGAGGAGGGGGAGAAGGGGGAGGATGCGGGGAAGGAGGAGTTTGAACGACCGCACCACTGATCAACGACATTAGCGCTGCAGCGCAAGAGGAGGAGGAGGAACGAGGCGGAGAAGAGGAATCGGCGACCATGCACTGTTCAGGTGCTGCAGCACCGAAGTGCCAATGAAAAAGGTGCGCTACAGCGCCATGCAGAAGGAATCCACGTTTTCAAGGCGGAGAAGAGGAGTCGTCGACCATGCAACGTTCAGGTGCTGCAGCACCGAAGCATTTAGCAATGTAAAAAAGTGCGCTGCAGCGCCAGTAAGGAATCCACGTTTTAAGCTAAAGCGCACCACCGCGGCTGCGACCATATCGGGCGCGCCGCTCGGATGCCGCCGCCCTCGCGCGGCGCCCACGCGAGCGAGCACGCGATGCTCGCCGTGTGCGCCCAAAAGGCGTCGGCATCGCCGCCAAGCACGTGCGCGGAGGCGCGCGGGTGCAGCTTCTCCTTGAAGAAGTAGGGCAGGACCAAGCTCAAGCCATAGTAGTGGCCGTTCTTGGTGAAGGAGAGGTGTTTCAACACCTCGGCCGCAATATGTTCCCCTCCTCCGTCCTCCAACAGTACGACGTCGCCGTATTTGACGTCGTGGTAGCGGCACCGCGCCGCAGCGGACGTAACAAAGTCCGCAGGCCCGAACTGCTGCAGCAGTTCGCGCGAGATGGCCTTGGACGGCCTGGTGGCGTTAACCAGGCAGTTAACCTTAAAGGTGCCGCCATCCATGAGCTGCCACAGGTGCCGCTCGGTGACGCTCTGCAGGACATTGGCGCCCCAGCGCTGGAGGCTGCATCCCCCACCTGAAGAGCGTTCGCAAAGCGCTTGCTGGTCTTGTGCTTGCGCTCCAAAACCCAGCACGACGGCAGCGCCACATGGCCCCAACGCCTCGCGTAGTTGGCGAAATGGCGCAGGTAATGGAACTTCTGCGCCATCGTTTCCTCGCCAAAGACGCTGCTGTATGACAGCAAAAACCTGTTAACCGCAGCCTGCAGCTTATCCGCGTCTGCCTGACGCCTGGATACTCGTAGGATTTCTTCCACAACGATCGTGTGCGCCTCGAACACTGCGCAAGCCGATCGGACTGCAGGCGCTGCAGCGTCGCTAGCCCCCCCCCCCCCCCCCTGAAGAAACACGTCAATCCGCCCGCGCGAACGCATGTCCGAACAAGAGGGGTGCAGTACATATCCGGCAGAAATTCACGTGCGCTGCAGCGCATGTATTATTGGTCTGGCGGGGGTGCGAAGCATGCAATGATACTTGCATGGTTGTGAGCCCCTCGCTGGCGGTGCACTTGAAATGCTTGCTGCCAACGTGGGACCTCACGCGCTTCTCGCCGAAGATCGCGCACGTGTCGGGGGAGATGGAGTGGTGCCCTAGAAACGACCAGTCCTGGAAAGATGCGTCTGCGCGCGCCCAGTAACCCTTCAACCTTCGAAACATTTGGAACACCAGAATGTTATATGTACCGTTGACGAAAATACAATGCATCCAATCAAACATGACTGTCTCGAGCGGCTTGAGTTTCCGAACCCGCTCAGGCAAATGGGGGTCCCAGTTCCAGCCACGTCGGCGCTCCAACTCCTGGAACTCGCCCTTGTTCATGATGTTGACCCCTTCGATCAATCTGTTGCAGATGGCATCGAGCAACGGCGCCGTCATCGGCTGCAGCCGCGACGCATCTGGTTCCGAGTGGTGAACAGCGACACCCGTCGTACCAGAAGCAACTACATCCCGAACTTCGCCCTTCAAGAACACGTTGCGGCACATAAAACATGGTTTGCTTCCTGGCGAACCTTTCATTCCGATCAAGCGGTGTATTGCATCCTCGTCCGCGATCCGACAGAGCCGCTGCAGCGACGCAAGAAGGCGTAATGGATATATACATGTGCACATGTATGCTAACGAATCTCGGGTGCTATGCGGCGACCGCTGCAGCGGCTGCATGTAAATCCCGAGGTCCATCTGGATGAGCTCCGTCGCGCCGTCGGGGCGCAGCCGCAAGCTGATGCCTGCGC